TCCGGCAGCTGCTCCAGCAGACAGGTGGCCAAAAACACTCCTCCTGCAAAACAGCTGATCAGGCTGAGCAGCCTGCGCCGGAAACCTGCAAGACAACGCTCAGGGATCAACCTGACGCCTGCTGCTTCAGTACTGATACCTCACTTTGAAAATACTCCATTACAAGTATACAAGTATATATATTCAAAACCAAATTTAGGTAAAAGTATTATCAGTAAAACTTAGTTAAAGTAAATAGAGTAATAGTTGTATTATTATTATTATTATGACCTGGGTCCATATATTGTTATTTTATTATCATCATTATTATTATCATCATTATTATTATTATTATTTGTATTATTTTAAATTCCAATATTAATAGTCGTATTATAATTAGTAAGTATGATTATGTTAATGATTACGTGGGTCCATGCTGCAGCAGCCCCCTCCCCGAGCGATGCACAGTGGGCTGAATCCAGACAGCAGCGTGACGGAGAGCAGGAGAACCAGAGCCCCCCCAGGAGCCCTGAGGGCGGAGGAGGAGACCCCCCCCACCACAGCGGACATCTTTAATCTGGTTACTCTTCACCGCGGCGAGGAGGAGGAGGAAGAGGAGGAGGAGGAGGAGGAGGAGGAGGGCATGGAGTCACAGAGGAGTCTGTCTGACAAAAAAGATAAAAATGAGATCCCCTCTTCTTGTCTTTCTTCTTGTATTCAATCTAATATCTATATTTTTTCTCTGCCATAATATCTATATATCTATATATATAGATATAGCATAATTTATAAAGTTATAATAGGCTAAGTGTTTCGATATATACATACATCCAGGCCCTTAAAAATATCTAATTTAATTTAATTAATGTTTATTTTTTTGTAATATCAATTACTTTTTAAAATGTTTTTAATTGCATCATGTTTTTTGAAAAGTCAAAATTTGCTGTAAAAATACAAAATTCAGGTAAAAAAGTTAATTCTAAGAAAACGACACATTCGGAAAATAAGTCAAAATTAAAAGGAAAAATTATAATAAAACCAAAACATCTCTCGTTCAGATCTCAAATTGTTGGTCACATGGCCTAAATCCTCTTCCATAAACATCCTGGGACAAAAGTCATAATTCTGGGTGAAGTTTCAGGAACAAAGACTCTTTTTGGGAAAAGTCAAATATTTGACCAAAAAGTTCTTTAAAAAAAAAAACATTCTTAAAAAATTTGGAAGGAAAAGTAAAAATTCTGAAAAAAGTTACAATTCAGAGAAAAAGCGAACTTTTGGGAAAATGTAAAAAGTCTGAGAAAAAAGGTCAGAATTCAGAAATCCTTCTGTTGGGATTGGTCTACTATTTACAGATCAGAATCAGAATATTTGTATATTCGTCCAACAGAAGGGACATGTGCTGTAAGGTGGATTTGCAAATGGATATTGACTGGAGGGTTTTATGGTTTCATGGTGGGAATGTTTAGATTCTGTCTAAGAGAATATATCAGATTCAGAATACCTGTATTCGTCCCACAGAGGGGACATGTACATTGTTACAGCAGAAAAGAGCCACAGACAGCTTAAAGTTAACTAAGCAGCATGCATACAAAATATTAAAGATAACTACACAATTTACAAAATACACATCCTGTAGCAGTTCTGAAGATTTAGCAGCCAGGTATATATTGCAGTTAATGTCCCGCCCCTTAGCGTACAATGTGTTGGTGCGCAAGCCAGTGTTACAGAAGTGATGTCACTATGTTCCTGAAGTAAACAAAGGAGTCCAATGAAGGCTTTCAGGCAAGGGGGGGGGGGATTTATGGAATCAATAAGTCGACTAAATGTGGCGTTAATTGAGGAAGATTGTTAGTGGCTTTATTTGCTTTCATCATGCTGAACAACTTATTTTCAAGAAACGAATGAGGACAAATTTGGTTCAAATAATATTTAAAGTGGGGCTTTTGCATTTTTCTCTCCAGAAAACATCAGTATTATTTATCTGTTTTTTAATCAAGGAATTAGGTCATTAGTCATGTTTCATGCTGAATAACTTCATTGTAAGAAACATGCAAGCTTATTTCCTGTTGAAAATAAGTTGGAAAGTTTTGATTACCATGATTTGATCAGTTACAGATATATCGATCAATGTATGGAATCAATTCTTAGACTTAAAATTATTCTTTAATTTGTATTACTTTGTTCATGATATATGACTTGTTTCCATACAAAACGTCAGAGCACATCTCTGGAACACACTAGATATCAAGTAGTGCTTTTTAAACTCAGATTTAAAGATCTAGTGGTTTTTAATTCATTAAATGTAACGATTAGTCAAACGAGTGTTAATCGACTCAAACTGATATAAAGTGATAACCCAGAGTGAAGAAACAGCGCGTGTTGTTTCCCCTTGTGTAATGTAATGTGTATACATCTGAGCTGTACCTGAATCCGGGTCCAGCAGCTCGCTCTGTTCCTCCGCGAGTTCATTAAAGAATGAAGTCCTCTTTCTTCTTCTTTCTCGCTGGATGTGTCGACATGTTGTCCGGGAAGAGGTGAGTCAGTTCCCATCAGCTGATCTGAACTGAGCTGCTGTCACACTCAGCAACAACACGCTGCATCCGGGTTTCAAAATAAAACGCTGACTTGAAACACGATTCTGTATGGAGAAAAAACCTTGCCTTATATTTTTTAAATGAAGCACGTTTACTCGTCCTTTACTTAAGTAAAAGTACTAATACTAAACGCTAAATAAATACTCAAAGTCCTGCATTGAGAATGTTACCAAACTCTAACAAAAAGTATACCTATCTAAGTTTTCCGGAAAAAAACTGTAAACTATTAAAACATTAAATTAACCAATTCTACACATTAACTAATTGATCAAGTAGTAATTCAAAGTAGGGATTCAAGATATCGAACAAATGTGGCCAATATGTGGAAATGTAACTCACTGCACTACATGTATTGAATACATTTAGTTACTTTACAGATGTGGATGAATGATGTGAAATATAATCAAGTGTTAAATCAGATTTTAGTTCCACCTGGAGTAAATTCACAAGCTACCCTGCAGTATACAAAGTCATTCAAACTAGCTGCACCTTTACCAGCTTTGAGAACACTTTCATGATCAATCATTATAAAACATATCATATATATTATTCTGAAATGGACCAATCTGCACTCTCTATGAGGTTTTGATCCGACTGACACGGAGCGGGAGATCAGAGGCGTGGTTTAAGAGAAACTCAACTGCGCATGCTCTATGGGCCCACATCCGGGTACTTTCAGAGTCTACACTCGCTCCACTTTGGGCTTCAAGCGCCACTGAATAACTCACAGGAATGAACGGAGTATCCAGTTCACTTATTCAACCTTTATATATCCATGAGCGTGTTAGATAGCTAGCTAGCTTGTTAAATGAATAGCTACTGTTCACTAGCTAATTTAAGGTACATTTATTTCGGTCTCTAGGTTAACTTGTTCGTTTGTATTTGAACTCTGTGAACATTTCTCTGGCTTCCTGGCAGTGACCATAACATCTTGGCATGTGCTTTAGTTTGGAGTTAAATTTGATATGCTTCCGTACTTTGTAGTTCCTCATAGAGCATACATCTACACCAAGAGACAATGCAGGTATTTTATGTCCTTATGAGGTTTCAGGACATTTTCATCCTGTCACCATTAGAGTGAGAGTGATGGGGCTACAGAGGGTGAATATAACAGTAATATGTTCCAGTGATAACCATGTATCTTTAGATGATTTTTAAATGTTTATGATGAACTAGGATCCAGTATTTATTTAGGTGTTGAGGCAGTTCTCTTTAAGCTATGCTTTTAAAAAGCCTCTTGGATCAGCTTGAAAAAGCATCGGCACAAAGTTGAGATACGTGGTTCTCACAGGACAAAGCTACACACATATATTGATCTCATAGAATCTGCATTGCTGCAGAATAAACAAACCAAGAGTATATAAAGGAGTTTAAAAAATCTACAAAATGCAACTTGTGCACTCATGCATCAGTAATACTATTCCACAAACAAATATATATAATATGGAACAATATACTGCACAGTTAACACTAGAGTACCCAAAACAACCTCACAAGTAAGGTTTTCAATGCAGGATGTTTATTGATTTATTTTTCTCTTTGTGGTATTATTATTTTTTCTTCAATAACTTTGTCTTGCTTGTTTTTAGATGCTTGCATATTTTCTAACTTTCTTATAAATTATGTGTTTTTGGAACCGTCTTACTGTGAGAGCAACTGAAAATAATGCCTGTTTGTACCTGTCCAGGTGATGAGGCTGGTTATGAAACAAAGGGAGGAGCTACAGACAGACAGGGACGTTTAAAGTTAAAGAAGGAAGTCAGACTGCCAGACTCCATTTCACACCTCGACAGAGCAGCAGGAGGAAAACAGGGTGAGTGTTAACAACAGAGTCTGCTTTTTAACACATTAATCATTTACTCTGTTGAACTGTATGTCAGAAAATAATCTGTAAATACAAATGTATTTATTTCCTGCAGTCGAAAGTGACATCTTCAAATGTTGTGAACTTTTTTATCCATTTCCTGGTTTCTGAGCCATCAGAGTTTCATAACATGTGACAGCCCAGCGCAGTCAACATGGAGAGCAGCCTGTCTGAAGTCTGACTGATTTGATGTATTGAAACCAAGTTTGTCATTATGATGGTTTAGATTGACAGTGTGTGTGTGTGTGTGTGTGTGTGTGTGTGTGTGTGTGTGTGTGTGTGTGTGTGTGTGTGTGTGTGTGTGTGTGTGTGTGTGTGTGTGTGTGTGTGTGTGTGTGTGTGTGTGTGGGTGTGTGTGTGTGTGGGTGGGTGTGGGTGGGTGGGTGGGTGTGTGTGTGTGTGTGTGTGTGTGTGTGTGTGTGTGTGTGTGTGTGTGTGTGTGTGTGTGTGTGTGTGTGTGTGTGTGTGTGTGTGTGTGTGTGTGTGTGTGTGTGTGTGTGTGTGTGTGTGTGTGTGTGTGTGTGTGTGTGTGTGTGTGTGTAGTGTTACTGGTTTGTCTCTCAGACTGGAGAAGATGAGTGACTCAAAAGATGAGGAAGAGGACAAATCTCCAGTCCCCAGTGGTCTGTCTCTGAAGAGTTACCGGTCTAGAGAGCAACCTCCGTACTTCAGAGATGAACCTGGACCCTCAGACACAAAGTAAGAGTCTGTTTCTACTGTAACCTGACCTGAAGAGCATTCAGTTTTATATTATCTGATCATTTAAACAGATCTTTTATAATTACATGAGGGCAGTAGAGTACAGAAACGATGTAGAGTATAGTATAATGATAGTAATAACCGGGTGAGCTGCATGTATCATTAGCAGATTTCATTTGTGCGAAGCGATAACATGTAGGTCAATGCGCAGACACCATTTTGTGCCTGGCAACACAAATCAAGTGAAGATGTGAAATTCATATCCCCCGTGTATTCACACAACTTGAAAGTTTGTGACGCTCCATTACAAAAACCTGTCAGTGTTGAGATTCTGCTCCTGTGGTCACTGACATGCTGAGATAAATCAGAAGAGGGAACATCAGCACCCAGAGCTCTACAGCACCTCGTATGAAATCAGGGTTATTCATGTACCTGAGTAGTATTACATATCCCGCTTCAATCTCATTAGTATGCATAAAAAAGTGACAGGTCACACCTTCTAAGTCCCGCCCCCTAATTATGTTAATGACCCCCCTTTGATATGCTAATGAGCCCCTTTGTTCGAGGTGTTATCGCGTACAGGTGTTACATCCTCACCGGTAGCCCCCACCCCCCTCAGACCACCCCCCTCCCCCTCACATACAGGTGTTACATCCTCCCCGTAGCCCCCACCCTTCTCAGCCCCCACCCCTCTCAGCCCCCACCCTCGCAACCCACCCTCTCCTTACAGCAGGTGTCACATCCGCCCTGTCGCCCTCACCCCTCCCTCCATATTCCCGCCAGAAGATAGTGAGGGGGTGGAGTCAGTCATAAAAAAAGAAATCTATGCAAAACTAGATAAAAGCCAGTCATTTCCACTCAACAAGTCACCTAATCTTTCAGAAAAGAAAAATGGCAAAGAGACGCATCGATATGGGTTTAATCAGCGAGACGCCGGTAACAACTTACCACCATCCATCGGGGGAGCCGGTCAAGAAACGGATGCAGTATCTGTGTCGGGTTCAAACCCCTCCCGCAGAGGCTCTTCATGAAAAATGGAGTCTGGAAAATGGAGATGTTTGGGGTTTTGTGTTCAACTATATGGCGAACGAACTGCACTTCTACAATCTGAAGAATGGCGAAACCTATGGACCCAGCAGTGTTAAAGCGACGTTGACCTCAACAGATTGGGCTGTGTTAACTCTGGTGTCTTCCAGAGATCTCCGTGCAACCGTTGTATCAGAAAAAGCAGTGCATCAAGAAACCACGGTGGATCCATTGTGGAATCATTCATCCCTTGTACGTGCAATGTCTATGAAACTTGCATCAAAAAGCAAAGAAACGCAAACTGTGGTCGAGATCAAAGAAGAGTTTTCATCGCAACCCCTCCATATGGAAGAAGAGGAAGAAAATATTCACCCGCCGCCGCCAGTGAAAAGAATCCTGACAAGCACCGTCTGGGAAACTAAAAGCGGCCCGTCGGGTAGATGGTATTACCGCTCAAGCCGTTTGGTGACACGGGGGAAGAACCCCTCTGATGATTTTGTTTTGGAGTATTTCAACTCTACATGTGGGGTTTTTCAAACATCTTTGCGTGTGCCTCTGGCTGCTTGGCTGAAAATGATCGATGAAAAATCTACAAAGCTTAAAGAACTTTTTAAACAGAGTCAAACAGCGCTAGACATTATAATGGTGAAAAAAACTCTCACTTTTGCAGATGACTCCTCCTCCTCCTCCTCCTCCTCCTCAACATAATAAGTCCCACCCCTCACCAGATCATTTAAAGCTAAGGAACCCCTAAGACAACCGTTGAAGACTAACCATGGATCTGAGAAAAAACAAGTCTCTCCCTGCGAGCTGCGACATGGAACAAGCCCTGGATCTGAGAAAAAACAAGTCTCCCCCCGCAAATTACAGCCTGGAACAACCCATGTATCTGAGAAAAAACAAGTCTCTCCCCGCGAATTGCAGCCTGGAACAAGCTCCTGACAGACCGCCATCATCTCCAACAATCTGGACCCCCGAGCTCAACAGTGATGACGATGGCGTTGATGTTACTGGCTGGGGGCTTGTGTATCAACCTCCATCTACTCCACCAAAACCCCCGAGGAAAACAGCAGCTTCTTCAGACTCCTCGGTAGAAGACGACGATGGATCGACATGCTATGCTTATAACTATGGTTATACTTCAGAGTATGATGCTGTAGACGGGGCAAGGACAGCTTCATTCCTGAATACGGTAAAAGCTGTGGTGGTTCATCTGTTGGATAAGGTCGTTCACATGTACAGAAAGGAACAATGTTATGGCTGTCAAGTCGATCACCCCAGTCAAATGCAACATGAGTGTTTGTTTGAGATGCCAGAATATTTTCTGGAGCGAAACTATGATGAAGTGGTAAAGAGACTGTGGACCGACCGTTTCATTCCAGCCATTCGGGGTTCTCTACATTCGAGCAAGCTTCATATGTCGGAGAGAAGGATCTTTGGAGCTGCCGAGGCGATTCTTCACAATCTCAGAAGCACAAGACGCTTTGAGGTTAAAATCAACAAGCTTTACGAAAAGCTTGTTGAAAACGACGAGTCACAGCTGAAGAATATAGCAGACGCATGGGACTTTTGGCAGCGAAAGGAAGAGTTTGAAACTTATCTGTAAAAAGTACCACCATGTTTTTTTATTTTACTTTTTTTATTTTTATTTTACTTGATCTAGTGTGTCCTTCTCTGTAATCATGTTTTTTGATTTAAATTGTTTTTGATTTTCTGTCTGGAGAAAAATGTTTTTTAAAATCTGTTGTTGATATATGCATCAAATCAATAAAAATGTGTTGTAACAAAACTGTTGTATTCATTACCTCATTGGGACGGTAACAGAGAACATGTCTGAGAAACGTGTCATGCAAAGAGTGTATTACACTCCCTCTAATCCAGGGAGTTTAGGGGGCGTTGATAAACTCCATAGAGCTGTACAGAATGAGATGGGTAAACAGATAAATGTAGAGAAAGTCAGAGATTTTTTATCTGAACAAGATGCTTATACTTTACACAAGCCGGCAAGGGTACATTTTGTAAGAAACAGAGTTTTCGTACTCAGACCGCTACAGCAATTTCAAGCTGACCTTTGCGATATGCAGTCGTTATCCAAGCATAATGACGGTTTTAATTATTTGTTAACAGTCATAGATGTATTTTCGAAAAAAGCCTATGCACAGGCAATAAAGAAGAAGACTGGTGTAGAAGTGGCGAAAGCCTTTGATAGAATTTTAACACACAGTCAAATTCCTAAAAAGATGCAAACAGACGCGGGGAAAGAATTCTTTAACAAAGTTTTTCAAGCCTTATTGAAGAAACGAGGTATTGCACATTATGCAACAGCCAGTGATATGAAGGCGTGTGTGGTAGAGAGATTTAACCGTACGCTGAAAACTAAAATGTGGAGGTATTTTACAGCTAAAAACACGCATAGATACATAGACGTCTTGCCTGAACTAATTGAAAGCTACAATAATAGTTATCACCGAAGTATTAAAATGACGCCTCTGCAGGTGACAAAGGAAAATGCGGCTCAAGTATATCGTAACCTGTATACCCCATCCATCCATCGTAAAAAAGCTGCTACGAAAATGAACTTTAAGGAGGGGGAACTTGTAAGAATATCTAAGCTGAGAGGGGTCTTTGATAAAAAATATGAACAGAGTTATACCGACGAATTATTTACGGTGTCTGAAGGCATACCTCGACAGCCCCCTGTTTACAAACTCAAAGATTATGATGGAGAGGAGATCAAGGGGACTTTTTATGAGAAAGAGTTACAAAAAGTGAAGGTATCTAATGACAAGGCTTTTCAAGTTGAGAAAATTCTGAAAAGACGTGTGGTGAGAGGGAAGAAACAGATGTATGTATGCTGGAAGAACTGGCCCGAGAAATTCAACAGCTGGGTTGATGCTGGGGAGATCAAAGATGTATAAAAACAACAGACTTTACGTTCAGTCCTTCATTGCTGCCATGGAGATTAATGAAGGGTTTTATATTACGCTGCCTTCCAATGCCAGTCTTGATGTATTTCAAAACAATACAAGCTCTAGCTACCAGGTAAACTTGGCACAACCTTTGCATTTAGACGGTTCGTGGCAGGTAGCCATGACAGAAATGTCATACCCACACACTTGGTATAACTTACCTCTGGATGTAGCCTATTTTGAATGGATAAAGAAATCAAAATCCCCCGAGATAGTGAGTAAGGTAAAGCTTCAAATGTTCAGTGGGGGTTACTATAGCACCATAAGTCAGCTCAAGGAGGAACTGGAGTCCTGCTTCAGAAAAATTGATTCTGATGTCCATTTTTACTATAGTCCGATTCATCGGAAAATCGAATTTCAGGGTGGTGGACAACATCGTTTTCGCTTTCCAAAGCCCCTCGCCTATATGCTAGGAATAAAACCAGACCAGTGGATCAAATTTGATGACAAATCAGCAACCTACCCCGCGGATATAAATGCAGGCGCAACTCATCTCTACTGTTATAGTAACGTTGTCAGTCATCAGAGAGTAGGTGACGCGTTTGCTCCTCTCCTGAGAACCGTAGATATAAAAGGGACATTCAGTGATACCATCACCCAGTATTTTAGTCCTGCATATTATTTGCCGGTAACAAAAACGCATATCGAAAATATACAGATAGAGATAAAAAACGATCAGAACGAACCAATAAAGTTTACCTACGGCAAGAGTGTAGTGAAACTTCATTTCCGACCTTCAAAAGCGGGGCAATCATTTGCAAAACGATGATTAATCAGGATCCGCAGCGTTTTGTTAGCTACTATGAAAATCAGGCTGGAGGGTCATTGCCTGGTTTTTATGGAGCACCAGTTATGTACGGTCGAGGCATTGGTTCTATATTCTCAAGATTATTTCGTTTTGTAGCACCGTTGGTGAGAAGGGGGTTCGCCATAGCTAAACCTCATCTCAAATCGGCGGCTAAAAATATTGCATCTGATGTAATCAGTAAGGCGGTTCATAATTTCGGCGGCCAATCGGATCACGGGTCTCAAGAAGGATCCGGAGGTCTGATGGTTTTAGCAAGAAGGGCCAGAAAGAGACCTCCAGGAAAACGGGTTCCGGCAGGCTTTAAAAAGGGGAAGCGCTCAACCAAGAGAAAATCATTAGGGAAAAAGCACCCACGAAGAAGGAACACACTGGGGAGAGATATATTTTAGAGTGTTAAATATGGCTCTTTTACATCACAAATCTGCTGAATGTAGCATGGCAGAGTTGGATTTGTTTTCGGCTCCCATGACGCAGCTTTCTATAGATGAAAAACACTACACCGAGGTCCTTCCGTTGTCTGCCATTACAGAGGATGGACCCATTGAATTTTTCATTCCAGGGGACGGGGATAAATACCTTGATATGAATGACACCTTGATGCATCTCAGGGTCAAAATAACCAACGCCGATGGGACTAATCTGGCAGTCGATGCTCCCGTGGCCCTAGTTAATTATCCTCTAAACACCATTTTTAGTCAATGCGACGTTATTCTAGGGGACAGGCTGATTTCTCAGTCCAGTTCGACACATCCTTACAGAGCTATGATTGAAACTTTATTGAATTACTCTGATTCTACTCTAAAAACTCAATTCACTGCCGGCTTATTTTATAAAGACACTGCAGGAGCTATGGACTCTGTAGTGATCGCCAATGGGCCAAACAAGGGTCTAGTAAAGAGAGCGGTGTTTACCGCAGAGTCACGAGAGCTTCATCTGATGGGGGCTCTGCATACCGATATATTTTTCAGCGAGAGGCTTCTCCTGAACTCTGTAGATTTGAGAATCAAACTCACCAGATCTAACGATGCCTTTACTCTCATGTGTGCAAATGACTCCACATACCGTCTAAAAATACTGGGGGCCTCGCTTTTTATCAAGAAAGCGACCATTGCCCCAGCCGTGCGTCTAGGTCATGCAGCTGCATTGATGAGAGGCAACGCTCTCTACCCTCTATCTCGTGTAAATATCAAAACATACAGCATTCCGGTGAATTCCAGAATATGTAATCAAGAAAATCTCTTTCTGGGTAACATGCCGAAATACATAGTTTTGGGTATGGTAAATCACGAAGCGTTCACAGGAAGGAGAACTCTTTCACCTTTTAATTTCCTTCATAATGATATGGAATATCTGGCTTTGTGTCAGGACGGCAGACAAGTACCGGCCAAAGCATTCCAACCTCAATTTAACCGGGGGTCTTCAGTCCGAGAGTTTTACAATATGTTCACTGCTACAGGGAGACACATGAAAGATCTCCCTCTGAGTATTGACCGAGAGGACTTTGAACAAGGATACTCCTTATTCGTATTTAATCTCACTGCAGGGGAAGATGCTGACGCATTATCACCAATCACCAGCGGTAGTTTAAGACTGGAAATGAGATTCCGAGTACCGCTGCCCCAAACTACAACTTTAATCGTATATTCTTGTTTTGATTCAATTCTGGAGATTAATTCAAAACGTCAAGTGCTGGTAGACTATTACTAAGAAAAATATTACAGAATGAATAATCATCAATTGGACAGTCTCCTGCGACATATGGTAGGGGACTCGTTTGGGGGTGTATGGGCTTCAGATCAGCTACCCCAAGTAAAACAATTATTCAGATACCCCGTATACATGATTGTAAATACCCACCCTTCCCACATGCCAGGGGAACACTGGCTAGCAATTACTTTAGAAGGAGACAATGTGGGGACTTTTTTCGACTCTTTTGGATTTCCTCCCAATTTTAGTCATTATCCTAAAAGCATTCTACAATTTCTAGAAAAACAATGTAAAACTATATTACACCATAATCATCAGCTTCAAAATGTCCTGTCTACAGCCTGTGGTCAGCATTGTGTTTTTTACCTATGTAAAAGAGCGTCTGGGCTGTCTTACGAAGATGTGTTATCACTGTATCAAGATGATGTGATAAAAAATGATGCTACTGTAACAAATTTTGTGAAAAAATATCAACGGTGTGAGAGACGTCATAAAGACACTCATTTTAACCACAGTGTTTGTTCTCTACAAATGTTTAAAGATTGAAATGTAATTCATTGACAATACGGGGCTACGGGGAGGATGTAACACCTGTATGTGAGGGGGAGGGGGGTGGTCTGAGGGGGGTGGGGGCTACCGGTGAGGATGTAACACCTGTACGCGATAACACCTCGCACAAAGGGGCTCATTAGCATATCAAAGGGGGGTCATTAACATAATTAGGGGGCGGGACTTAGAAGGTGTGACCTGTCACTTTTTTATGCATACTAATGAGATTGAAGCGGGATATGTAATACTACTTACCTGTATAAACCAGAGACTGCCTGTGGTGCTAACAATATAATAGCTGCTGTTCTTATGACTGGATGGAGTTATTTTGAGTGTTGATGGAGCAGCTACAACGTTAGCCTAGCCTAGCTTTAATCAAACAGATCTCCATTCAGAAAACAAACAAGTGTTTTGCTTGTTGTGTTGCAGACAGACCTGACAAAGCATTAACTCAAATCAATATCATTATGTTTTTATTTCGGCATCCTTTCCATATATTTTTTTTAATTAATTCACAGCAAATTCCCTGTGAATTGGGTTCAAAGTGCTAAAGTGTACCAGATTAACTCAGCTGATGTTATGAACACAGACACAAAGCTTTGTGGTTTCATAATGATATGAATAACTAGCCACTATCTACCTTATCATGAAGAAATATCATCTAGAGATACAGACTTTAAAAAAATATCAATCTACAATTTTTCACCCTGCTGTACCTTTGGTGAGAATCAGCTCCACTAATGTAAAGAGCTATAAAGGATGTGTTCATCTCCACAGAGGGAATAGGAAGAGTCGTGTTCCTGTGGAGGAGCAGTCGTCCAGCTGTGCTCTGTGTCAGGACGTCCTGAAGGATCCAATCTCTACCAGCTGTGGACACTGGTTCTGCAGACAGTGCATCGCCTCATCCTGGGAGCAGGGACCTCCATCAGGATACTCCTCCTGTCCTCAGTGTGGAGAGAGATGCAGCATTGTACAAAGTAAGAGGCTGAACACATTCAAGGTTCAAGGCTTTTATTGGTCATACGAACATAGCTACAGTGTAGTTATGACCAGTGGTGTAGTGGGGATTTTTTTTACTGGGTGGACGCTATTTTAATTAGGTCATCCCAAACAATGCGCAGTGCACTCACAAAACGGGCAAACAGGTCTACAGAAACTCCTGGTATGCTTAGTCCTACTTTAGTTACTGTACTGCAAAAAGCAGACGGCGCTGCGCTCAACACACACACAGACTCAAACCATGGACACTCCGGTGTCAGTACCAGGGCTGCATTTCACTTCGGTTAAATGGATTCCTTGCGTCCCTCACTTGCGTCGTTTCCCTGCGTTTAGTCCCTCCCACCAGGGAAGCATGGAGAGACGCAAGGAAACCACGAGAAGCAGGGAAATGAGTTTTAAGAGCAATGGGACGTCCTTTCCTCCGGAGCGTCACGTGAAGCGACGTCCGTTTGTGATGACGCCGCACAGCTGTTCGTCTGACAGCAACCAGCTCTTCACACACACCCCCGCCTCTGTTAGTACACATTTACTGACACAAACATTTGTATCATCTGTTGTAGACCCAAATAAATAAAATCAAATAAGAACTCATTCTCAAAAAAGATAAACGCCATTCTTAAAATGTATAAACAAACAGTTTGATTAATATTGATTAGAGTGCACAATAGAAATAAAATAATTGAGAGAAGAAAAAGAGATATGTTATCTATCAAAACCCAGTTAGATTAACATTCATTGGATTGCACACTTAGTTTGTTTTTGTGGATATGTAGCTAATTAACATTTTAAATAGCACTGACTGACTGAATGGAAATGACAATAAATGAAAATGTAAAACGTAAAAAGCGATCATGAAAATGTTTCCAATAAATGAATAAAATAATTTTTGACCACTTTGTTGTTCAGATATATCACATATTTGTAACTGAATGATGCATTCATTGAAACAAAACACAGTATGAACTGAGGAGTGAGTCCCGTGAGTTTCATGTGTTTTCTTCACTCCGCTGGGAAACTCTGCTCTCATGTCAAGAAGCATCAGATCAGTGCATGCGCTGCATCGTCCAATCAGTGAGCGATACACAGTAAGGGGGCGGGGCGAGTGTCTGAGGATTTCATCGAAGGATGGTCTGGTGGTTCCTCGATTATCGCTCCTCCATTATCACTCCTCGCTCCCCGCTCCTCGGTCCTCGGTCCTCCGGCACAAATAAGGCCATTGGGACGCTACTCAAGATGGCGCAGACAAATCAACTTCCGGTGAGACCGAGGAGCGAGGAAATGAAAAATAAGAGAAGTGAAACGCAGCCCATATGTGTTCGGCCTACCATATGTGTTCGGGGTCCGTCGCTTACCAATGACGTCACGCACTGTGATTGGCTGTACGGTAATCGCACGCTGATTGGTGTAACTAGGGGCGCTGACTAGGGTATACAGGGGGTCTGATCAAAGGATGAAGCTGTTAACGTGCTGCTACCATAAACTGGCTGTAGCCCACAAACTGAAGCAGAATGATCTAGGGCTGTCCCGAATACCATTTTTCAGGCTCCTGATATTCGGTAGTAATATTCGAATATTCGGCCCGCGCGGGGGGCGTAGTAATCAGCAGCGAACTGCTTCAACACGTGTATTTCGGTGTATTCACGGCATTCATTTTGTTATTCTACAGTATTGTTGTTTTATAGTTATTTTTTAATGTAACCCAATTTCTGTTCTTTTAAATTGAAAAGGATATCGCATTGTGTTTATTACTTTCATTGCAGTTGTATACTCTTAAGTGTAATTTGGCTTGGCTTCCTATTTATGGGACATGCTTTTATTTTGAAGGAGAGTTAGCGCAGTTGACAGGAAGTTGTTGTTGCTTTGGAAACAACGTGACAGAGATTAACGGAGAAAAGTAATATCTACATATAAAGACAGAGAAAGTAAACAATAACGTTTATGGTTAAGTGTTAGCACCCCCCGAAGAGGCACAAGCTCTTACGTTGATATTGGAGATTTCAATAAATTCAATCTGAGAAAAAACGGGAAAAAAAGAAAAAAGAAACAAAACGAATATCCGAATAACGAAATTGAAACCCGAATAGTACTCCAACGAACGGATATTCGGGTACAGTAGGGCTGTACCCGAATACTATAATAAAGTTATAGTAAATAATAACAAACTCCAGTGTTAGAATTCCATAATTCCATATTCATAAATAAAATGATATGCAAATAACATTTTCTTGGCTGTGGACTTGTACTCTACATAATTATGTTGAGCTCATGGTAATCTAATTCAATAAACAATAACTGCAATGAACAGATAGCATTTTCTGACTCGTAAAATGATTGGATATGGTGTAATTTGGTAAATGATTCTGTGTTGAAAAATGTATATCTTTAAAAACTGCGTTGGTGTATTAGGGCGGGCCATACTATTTTTTTTTGTTGTAAATCGATCGAGAGGGGTGTTCAAATAACGTATTTTGGTGTGTAGAACACACATCTATTTAGATTTATTAGGGTCTGAGACCTAGGTCGGCGAAGACCCTATTGAAATCGGTCGCGCAGCGACCGATAAACCTTTGACCCCCGCAACATATGTGAAAACTCACGTAAACTCCCCCCACTTTAACTTTCACATAAACGAACGAAACTCACTACGCATATCTAGGGTGCGAAGACAAACCAAAAAGCCTCTTGGAGGGGTATAAAATAACGTACAGGAAGCCGGCCATTTTGAATTTGGCGTCGTAAAAACGCGATTTATCGCGTTTTTCGTCCTCCGCACAAAATCTATCTTCTCCCAGGGACTTTATCCGTACGACTCGAAATGTGTCGGGTAGCGTCTCGAGACATGGGCAATTCAAAGTTATCATGGAAGTTTTTTTCTTTCGCACGGCGTAGCCGTGATTTGGCGCCAAAGTTCGCGTTCGCTTGATGCTAGGCGATCCCTCGCCATGGAACACGATGATGTCATAACACCAACTGACATACTCAGAACGCCATCAAACTTCACATGATGGTTAACACTGCGGCCCTGAACAGCTCTACGTCAAATTTGATGTTACTTAATATGGCGTTACCATGGCAACGCATCCCTCGCCAAACACAATGTTTATGATACTGCTGTAACTCCCATGTACGTTGTCCGATCGGCCTGAAACTTCCCACGTTTGCCAACGGCCGAGTCCTCGAGACACCTAGACACACACCTCGACGTGCGGACAACAGCCTGCGGAGCGTCGAAGACCCGCTGAACGCTTTAATTTATTTTGAAGTTGTTGCTATGGAAACAACATGACGGAGAAAAAAGTAATATCTTCTACATATAATAACGGACAAAGTAAAGAATGAAGTGTATGTTTAAATGTTAGCATCCCCCGAAGAGGCTCAAGCTCTTACGTTGAGTCTGGAGTTTCAATACATTCGGAATTTGACCGTGTAAAATGTCCTCTTGGGTTACCGTACAGCCAATGCGTGATGTCATTGGTAAGCGTAACGGACCCCGAACACATCTGGTAGGCCGAACACATATGGTACTTACACCGGCACATAAGTTACATAAACAATTTATCGGCCAAAGTTGCATAAATGCTCTCTCTCTCTCTATCTCCACTTTCAAAATCTATTTAAAACTCATAACAAACAAACAAAATTCCCAAAGTTGTCCTGAAATGAACTTATTAAATAAACGAAACGAAAAATATAGCCTACAGTACTTATGCAAACAACATTGAATCTGGACTTGAAATGATTCTGATTAGGCCTAGCCTACATGCATGGCGAATAAACGGATCTTGTATGCACACCGCTTGAGCATTATTCCTGGCATGCGCGCTCTCTCTCTCTTTCTCTCCCTCTCTCACTCTCTCACACACACGGTGCTGCCCCTCACACACACAGGCTTCAAATCAAGTTGCATAAATGCTTGAGCTACGTCATTGCAAACAAGCAGACAGCGCTGCTTCTCTCCCTCTCCCACACACACACACACACACACACACACACACACACACACACACACACACACACACACACACACACACACACACACAGGCTGATTTCGTCATTATTACAACAAATACACACTTGCAACTGATAACACTGGCAATGATTTTATATTTATTAGACTATTAAAAAAAATCATGCTTCAAAAAATGGGGGCTCCAAATAAGTGGGGGTACGGCGATACCCCGCGTCCAACGACCAAAATCTTAGAAAAAAAACCCCCAGAAATAAATAGTAAATACAAAAAGAAAAATAGTAAAAAAAGTGAAATAGTGCAATTAGAGTCTATATACAAGTTATTGGAATATGATATATTAGATAAATAATTTCTAAGTAGCAGCCAGATGAATGTTATGGATGTTGTTTCAAAGTTCAGGTGTTTAATAGTCTTCTGGCCTGTGGGATGAAACTGTCCCTGAGTCTGGTGGTTTTTGTCCGGATGCTGCGGTACCGCCTGCCAGACGGCAGCAGACAGAACAGTTTGTGGCTGGGGTGATGGGGGTCTTTTATAATCCTGAGGGATTTCTTCCTGAGCCGCTGGGAGTAAAGATCCTCCATTGATGGCAGCTCCTTCCTGGTGATGTGCTGTGCAGTTGGCCGATGACGGTCGTGTCGTCAGCAAACTTCACGATGGTGTTGGAGCTGTGTGTGGCCACGCAGTCGTGTGTGCACAGGGAGTAGAGGAGAGGGCTCAGCACGCAGCCTTGAGGGGCTCCGCTGTTGAGGATCAGGGTGGAGGATGTGATGTTTCCCACCCGCACTGCCTGGGGTCTGCCCGTCAAGAAGTTCAGGATCCAATCACAGAGGGCGCTGTTGAGCCCGAGGTCTCTGAGCTTGATGACCAGCTTGGAGGCAGTGGCGGCGCCAGGGTATGGCTGGGGTAGGCTACAGCCATACCAAGAAATGGGTTAGCCCCACCATGAAAAATGATGTTAAAGTAAGCAAAATAAAGTCCGCCAACTCACGCGGAGTAAATTGCACAGACAGTAGTTAGTAAGATTGATTTCAGTAGCCACTTGTCTGGAAATACCGAAGACTAGAAACGGTTTTGAAAACTTTTGTCACGTAGTGATCGTCTTCCCAATAAAACATCTTTGATAATGTCTTCTGGCCAATCAGAATCACGATAACGGCGTGGTGTTGTTGCAGGAAGTCCCGACGGAGAATACTTTTGTATTACGTGTCAACACGTGTCAGAAATCAACACGTAATGAAATAAGACCCCACGGTTTGATGATTGATAGGTGTGTGGGCTGTCTTTCATTTTGACACACAGAACAATGGGGGCTATCCACCCTTATCCACAATGTAAAGTAATTCACACAGCCTCTTCCCTCTTCTCTCTGTGAGGAGCAGCAGGTTCAGCTTTCAGAACAAAGTCACAGAAAACTAAAATGGCATTCATTTTTTTAAATGTGTAGTAATAGTTACATAATAATAGGGTTTTCAGCATGTCAACTCTTTCACCTGTGGGGAAATTGCAGGATTGGCTCCAGGTCGCCCTTTTTATTTACTACAAGACAAATGTGCCTTTTTATTTCATACAGTTCAATTTGGATTGAGACAGGGAAATAATCTAAACCTCACGCGTGGCGTTTCACTGTCAAGGGACGCAATATAGCGTGTATGTAATTACATTGCAAATACTGACTTGAGCCCCACCACTGTATGGGTTAGCCCTACCATAGATTACCCAACAAAAATACTCTGGAGCCGCAACTGCTTGGAGGGCACAATGGTATTGAATGCTGAACTGTAGTCAATGAACAACATTCTCACATAAGTGTTCCTCTGGTCCAGGTGTGAGAGGGCAGTGTGGAGAGGGGGGGGTGGGGGCTATGGTGTCGTCTGTGGATCTGTTTGTTCTGTAGGCAAACTGCAGGGGGTCCAGAGAGTCAGGGAGGGAGGAGGTGATGAAGGTTTTGACTAACCGCTCAAAGCACTTCATGATGATGGAGGTGAGTGCTACTGGGCGGTAGTCATTGGGGCAGGTGATTTTTGTTTTTTTGAGGACAGGAACGATGGTGGAGTGTTTGAAGCATGTGGGGACTACAGACTGCAGACCTGTTGAAGATGTCTGTGAACACCTCTGCCAGCTGAACTGCACACACCCTGAGAACACGGCCACGGATGCCATCAGGTCCAGGAGCCTTGTGTGGGTTAACCCTTTTGAAGAATCTGCACACATCTGTTTAAAACAAAAGGGCTCTGGCTCCTGATCTTTCTGTGCCTCCACAGCCTGGCTGCTCTCGAATCGAGCAAAAAAACAGTTCAGTTCATCTGGGAGAGATGTGCACGCAGACAGTCCTGCAGCACCCCCCGCTGCCCCTTTGTCATTGTTCTTAGTCCCGCCCACATGTTCCGGGTGTTACAGCCTTTGAAGTCAGACTCCATTTTGTCTCTGTATTGTCTCTTTGCCTTGCAGTTTGCTCTCCGGAGTTCATACCTTGATTTCCTGAACTCATCTGAATCTCCACCTCTGTGCGCGATAGTGCGCGCTTTCAGCTTGGTACGCACCTCGCTGTTTATCATGGGCTTTTGATTCAGGAATGTTCGTACAGTAACCTTCGGTACCACGTCATCGATGTCCGTGTGTGTTTTGATGTTGTTGTCCTCAAACACACTCCACTCCGTAGATTCAAAGCAGTGCTGCAGAGCTGAGTCTGACTCCTCACTCCAGCGCTGTATACTCCGTGTCACCGGTCTGTCCCGTTTCAGTTTCTGTCAGCAGGCAGCAGCAGCAGTGAGATGTGGTCTGATTTGCCAAAGGGAGGGCGAGGGAGAGCTTTACATCCATGTCAAAAAGGGGAATAAACATGGTCCAGTGTATTTCCGCCGCGCGTCGGGCAGCTGACTTTCTTCATATTGGCAGTGTTAAAATTCCCGGCCACAACGAACGCCGCCTCTGGCCATGAAGTCTCTGTCCTGTCTATAATTCCAAACAGCTGATCGAGTACCGTGTTGTTGTCAGCGTGAGGCGGAATATACACAGATGTAATCACAACCGATGTAATTTCTCTTGGCAGATGAAAAGCCCGGCATGTGATCATGAGGTGTCTAAATGAGGGGAACAGTCCGAAGAAATAATCCCCACATCTGTGCACCAGTTATTGTTTATCATGACGCACACACCACCTCCCTTACTTTTCCCTGAGTTAGCAGTCCGCTCCTGGGGAAATATAGTGAATCCAGCTGGAACAATGGCGGAGTCCGGGATAGCGGGGTTGAGCCAAGTCTCCGTGAGAATTAACACGTTAAAGTTCTTAATGTTGAGAAGCAATCCGACTTCTGAGTTCATCTAGTTTGTTTTCAATCGATTGAACATTGGCCAGAAGAATACTCGGAAGAGGGGGTCAGTTTTCTCTTTTCCTCAGTCTGACTAGCAGCCCGACCCGGGATCCCCGCTTTGTCGTCCTCCTGCGTCTCTCAGGTAGGACAGCAACAGGTAGCCATGGTGAATCTCCATTGTCTGACGGTGGGCTGTTGTCCACAAAGTTTCTGATCTGTAGAAGTTCCTCTCTGCTATATTGTATAGCCAGGGTTGGGCTGTAACGGAATACATGTAACGGCGTTACGTAATCAGAATACAAAAATCAAGTAACTATATTCAGCTTGCGTTACATTTGAAAAACGAGTAATCAGATTACAGTTACTTTCGTAAACCTGAAGTGAATACATTTTGGAATACTGATTGGAATTATTGGTGGAAAGGTTTCCTCACAAAAGGTAATATTCATTACCGGCAGAACTGTGTGCACGGCGCTGCAGAGAGAGAGAGAGAGAGAGAGAGATGCAGCGTGTCTGTGAGGCCCCGCCCCCGCACGCAGATGAGCGAGAGATCTCTTTTAAAATATATTGAAAGTTAGAAACGGAGATGGTTCGATAGAATGTGCAAGATAACGTTTATGTAGCATTTCTTTATTGTTGAAATGATGACATTTCATAACGGGATCAAATCAAAGTGAATGGTCTGCTGCTGCTGAATGCATGGGGCAAGTGACTGGAAAAAGTAAAAAAAAGTAATTACATCGTTTCAGATAATAATAATAATAATAATTAATAATAATAATAATAATAATAATTCATTCTATTCTGAAGTCTATCCGGTATTTTACAGGTAGCCAATGCAGATGGATGAGGATGGGGGTGATGTGGTCAGAGGATGGGGGTGTTGAGGTCAGAGGATGGGGGTGATGTGGTCAGAGGATGGGGGTGATGAGGTCAGAGGATGGGGGTGATGAGGTCAGAGGATGGGGGTGATGTGGTCAGAGGATGGGGGTGATGAGGTCAGAGGATGGGGGTGATGTGGTCAGAGGATGGGGTGTTGAGGTCAGAGGATGGGGGTAATGTGGTCAGAGGATGGGGGTGTTGTGGTCAGAGGATGGGGGTGATGTGGTCAGGATTTGGTGCGGGTGATGATCCGGGCAGAAGAGTTCTGAATGATTTGAAGTTTATTGAGGAGTTTGATGGGAAGGCCTGAGAGCATGGTATTACAATAGTCAATACGGGATGTGAGGAATGCATGAACCAGGACTTCAGTGCTGAGACAGGAGTCTGGAGAAGAATGCAGTCCGGGTGATGTTTTTTATGTGGGGTGCAGATGAGAGGGAGCTGTCCAGAATGACACCAAGATGTTGTGTTTGAGTTGTGCTCTTGATAAGCCATTAAAACAGTAAAATAAGTGTCTCCTGTACACCAACACATACCCATCTGTTCTGGGAAAAGAAAGTATTCTAAAAGTATTCTAAAAGTAATCTGAATACTTTTTTAAGACACGTAACTGTATTCGGATTCGGATGACTTTCAGAGCCATGTATTCAGTATTCAGGAACTAATTACATTTACAAAGTAACCCTCCCAACCCTGTGTATAGCAGAGTTGGTGCGGTCGGCTCACATGTTGCGGACCAGGTTAAAAGCACACGGCAAAAAGTAAATAAAAAATACGAGAAAAAGGCAAAGTTGGAGAGGAGCCAAAAGACAATGCAGCCATCTTCACCGGCTCATTCCTGTCAGCATCTTGACCTGGGCGCTGGGTGTCTACTCTTCCACAG